GGGGGCTTAGGGGGCTGCCCAATGGATGTGGGGTGCCCCATGGATGGGGGGGACACCCCATGGCCAAGGTGGTGCCCCACAGCAAGGGGACACCCCATAGCGAAGAGGACACCCAACGTTGAGGAGACACCCAAGGTTGAGGAGGCACCCAACGGAGAAGAAGACACCCAATGGCCAAGGGGGGGACATGGGGTGGGGGGGGTGATATTGGGGGGTGCCCCATGGATGGGGGGGACACCCCAGGGTGAAGGGGACAACCCATGGGGAAGGGGACACCCAACAACGAAGGGGACAACCCAACGATGAGGAGACACTCAACGGAGAAGAAGACACCCAATGGCCAAGGGAGGGATATGGGGTGGAGGAGGTGGCATCTGGGGCTGCCCCACAGCCGGGGGACACCCCATGGTGAAGAGGACACCCAACGGTGAGGAGATACCCAATGGCAAGAGGGACAACCCAACGATGAGGAGACACTCAACGGAGAAGAAGACACCCAATGGCCAAGAAGGGGGACATGGGGTGGGAGGGGTGACATTGGGGGCTACCCCATGGATGGGGGCTGCCCCATGGTGAGGGGACAACCCATGGAGAAGAGGACACACAACGGTGAGGGAACATCTCAAGCCAAGGAGATGCCCAATGGTGAGGGAACACCCAACGATGAGGAGACACTCAACGGAGAAGAAGACACCCAATGGCCAAGGGAGGGATATGGGGTGGAGGAGGTGGCATCTGGGGGGTGCCCCACAGCTGGGGGGTGCCCCATGGCCAGGGGGGTGCCCCACAGCGAGGGGACACCCCGTGGTGAAGGGGACACCCCATAGCGAAGAGGACACCCAACAATGAGGAGACACCCAAGGTTGAGGAGACACCCAATGGAGGACACCCAATGGCCAAGGGGGGGACGTGGGGTGGAGGGGGTGACTTAGGGGGCTGCCCCATGGATGTGGGGTGCCCCATAGATGGGGGGGACACCCCATAGCGAAGAGAACGCCCAACGTTGAGGAGACACCCAATGATGAGGAGACACCCAATGGAGAAGAAGACACCCAACGGCCAAGGGGGGGATATGGGGTGGGGAGGGGGTGACTTAGGGGGCTGCCCCATGGATGTGGGGTGCCCCATAGATGGGGGGGACACCCCATAGCGAAGAGAACGCCCAACGTTGAGGAGACACCCAAGGTTGAGGAGACACCCAACGGAGAAGAAGACACCCAACGGCCAAGGGGGGGATATGGGGTGGGGAGGGGGTGACTTAGGGGGCTGCCCCATGGATGTGGGGTGCCCCATAGATGGGGGGGACACCCCATAGCGAAGAGAACGCCCAACGTTGAGGAGACACCCAAGGTTGAGGAGACACCCAACGGAGAAGAAGACACCCAACGGCCAAGGGGGGGATATGGGGTGGGGAGGGGGTGACTTAGGGGGCTGCCCCATGGATGTGGGGTGCCCCATGGATGGGGGGGACACCCCATGGCCAAGGTGGGGCCCCACAGCAAGGGGACACCCCATAGCGAAGAGAACGCCCAACGTTGAGGAGACACCCAAGGTTGAGGAGACACCCAACGGAGAAGAAGACACCCAACGGCCAAGGGGGGGATATGGGGTGGGGAGGGGGTGACTTAGGGGGCTGCCCCATGGATGTGGGGTGCCCCATGGATGGGGGGGACACCCCATGGCCAAGGTGGTGCCCCACAGCAAGGGGACACCCCATAGCGAAGAGGACACCCCGATCATCTCAAGAACCTTTCCAGGTCCACCAACCCCTCCCTGGGACCACCCATGGCCACCACGATCATCTCAAGAACCTTTCCAGGTCCACCAACCCCGCCCCACTCACTGGCGCGTTCCCGGGGGGACTTGGTGCTGTAGACGGAGCACTGGTTGAACTGGTTGAGCTGGGGCTCCAGGAAGGCCACGGGCATGGCCGCCGCCAACCGCGCCAGGCACTCGCCCAGCGCCGGACGTTGTCTGTGGGGCAGAGGGGTTGGGGGTCACCCCACGGCGCGACCCACGGCGCGACCCACGGCGACCCACGGCGACCCACAGCGACCCACGGACACGAGGATCTCATGGCCATGAGCATCTCATGAGCATCCCATGGCCACCCCATGGAGATGGACACCCCGTGGGGCACCCCACAGCGCCCCACAGTGCCCCATAGTGACCCACAGCACCCCATAGCGCCCCATAGCGCCCCACAGCGCCCCACAGCGACCCACAGCGACCCACAGCGACCCACAGCATCCCAAGAGCGTGGGCATCTCATGGCCATGAACATCTCATGAGCATCCTGTGGCCACCCCATGGACATGGCCACCCCATAGCGCCCCATAGCACCCCACAGCGCCCCACAGTGACCCATAGTGCCCCACAGCGACCCACGGCACCCCATAGCGACCCACAGCACGACCCCCAGCGACCCATGGACACAGGTATCTCATGGCCATGAGCATCTCATGAGCATCCTGTGGCACCCCATGGAGATGGACACCCCGTGGGGCACCCCACAGTGACCCACAACACCCCATAGTGACCCACAGCACCCCCCAGCAACCCATGGTGCGACCCACAGCGACCCACAGCATCCCAAGAGCATGGACATCTCATGGCCATGAACATCTCATGAGCGTCCCATGGCCACCCCATGGAGATGGACACCCCGTGGGGCACCCCACAGCGACCCACAGCGCCCCATAGTGACCCACAGCACCCCATAGCGACCCATAGCGCCCCATAGCGACCCATAGTGACCCACAACACCCCACAGTGACCCACAGTGCCCCATGGCAACCTATGGCCATGGGCATCTCATGAGCATCCCGTGGTCACCCCATGGAGATGGCCACCCCATAGAGCCCCATAGCGCCCCATAGCGCCCCATAGCGACCCATAGCGACCCACAGTGACCCACAGCGACCCACAGCACCCCACAACACCCCACAGCGACCCACGGCAACCCATGGCCATGAGCATCTCATGAGCATCCTGTGGCACCCCATGGAGATGGACACCCCGTGGGGCACCCCATAGCGCCCCATAGCGCCCCATAGCGCCCCATAGCGACCCACAGTGACCCATAGTGCCCCACGGTGCCCCACGGTGTGACCCACAGCGACCCACAGCGACCCACGGCGACCCACGGACACGAGCATCTCATGGCCATGAGCATCTCATGAGCATCCCATGGCCACCCCATGGACATGGCCACCCCATAGCGCCCCATAGCGCCCCACAGCGCCCCACAGTGACCCATAGTGCCCCACAGCGACCCACGGCACCCCATAGTGACCCACAGCACCCCATGGCACCCCACAGCGACCCACGGACACGAGCATCTCATGGTCATGAGCATCTCATGAGCATCCCATGG